CTATAAACAATTGTCTAGGGCTAGCTCGACTATACCTCAATAATTTTGCTACTTTCAAGAAAATCTTTATAGTTTCTGATTGATTTCTTTTAGGCAGTCTACCATAATTTGTGTGGCTACCATCAGATAACTTCTGGTGTTAAATTGAGACTATATTATTCAACAAATGAGCAAAAGCTATTTTATGCATGATTATAGTTCATCACTGTCATAATAATCTAGAGCTGTGATTTTTTTTAATGAAAGCAAAATTCACTAAGTATACACTAAAATTATTATAATCATATTAGGTTGTGATTAGATAAAACCAACTCAGAAACAACTAAAATAAGCTACTACACAACATTGAATCAAAYAGAAAAGCTAAACTTTAACAAGGCTTTAATAACTATGCCAAAAGTCCCTTCAGAAAGWCGTTTAGGTAATAGTTCTTTTCTCTCCTCATAATCATTGAGTCCCATAAGGTCATTAGTATTATATAGTATTTCAGGCACAGTTTTGCCGTTGTTATGGTTTGGATCTGGAATATTCCCCCCAAAGCTCATGTGTTCAGAACCTGGTTCCAATGCAGCAAGATTTAGAGGTAGGGCTTTTAGGCAATGATTGGATCATAAGAGCTCTGACCCCAATAGTTAGATCAATCCATTGATAGCTGAATGGACTGGTGGGAGGTTGGACCTAGCTGGAGGAAGTAGGTCACTGGAGGTATGTGCCAAAAGGTTCTCTCTTTCTTGCCCTTCTACCTCTGTCCATGCTTCCTGCCTGCCATGAGATGAGCAGCCTTCTTCTGCCATGTCCTTCTGCCATGATATTTCTACCTTGTACCCAGCCAACCATGGACAGAATCCTGAAACTGTGAGCCAAAATAAATCTTTCTTCTTCTAAGGTATTCTTGTCAGATATTTTGGTCACAACAACAGAAAGCTGGCTAACACAGCCATTTAAACTAGCAATATGACTGTGCAAGTTATTTGCCTTATTATGTAAGGTACTTATGAGAATTGAATATTATAAATTACATAAAAAGTTTACTCCAGTTCTGAGAARATATTAAGCATTTTGTATGTATGAGCTATGATCATCACTAAAAAATACAAAAACCACTTTCTTGTTTATTCTGTCTTATATATCATAAAAATATATTCTTATCTGATTAATTAGAATTTCTATAAATGGCCTGACATTAAGGACTTCAATTCATCACTGCATTTCTTTGGTCTAAACCAGGACCAAGCATAGAGGGAGTGCCATACATATTTATTGTTGAATAAATAAATGAATATATACTCTTTGTCCCGAGTAGTTACCTGGATTTTTCACTTCTTTGCATCATATTAGACCTCCCATGACTTGACTTAATTTGCTTGACTTTTAGCATGTTCTGCCTGGAACCTCATAAAGTGAGGGACAGTCTATAATGTCTGCTTCAATCTTTACTTTGTTCTTTCTTTCTCAAAGTATAAACCTTATTGTTGTCAGTATAGTCTTTGTGTTATAAGAGCATCCTCTGGCCATTCTTCAAGAGAAGGTCTGCCACCAGTCAGTTCTCCTAATTTTCCTTTAGGAGAATGTCTCCTTAGAAAGTCTTTATTTTCTCTTTATTCTTGAAGGGTAGTTCCACTGGTATAGGATTTAATTTTAACAGTTCTTTTCATTTAGTTTATTAATATGAGATGCTGTGCCTCTTCTTTCTGGTCCATGTTTTCTGAGGACAAATCCATTTAATCCAAGTTTTTCTTCCTTTATACATAATGTATCATTTACTTCTGTCTTTTAAAAAGTTTTTTCCTTCGTCTTGTCTTTCATTTTAAGATGCTTAATTATGATGTCTCTAGGTGTGAATTTCTTTGAATATATTTTATCTGTGGTTTGCTCAGTTTCCTGACTCAGTAGATATATGTCTTTTGCTAAATTTGAAAGTTCTCATCCATTATTTTTCTCTTGCTACTTCTTCATCCCACTTGACTGTTTTCCTGTGGGCACTCCGATTACACCCATTTAGATCCTTTGTTATTATCCTATATGTTCTTGTGAATCTGTTCATTTCTTTTTCAATTCATTTACTGTTGTTCAAATTGAGTAAATACCATAGATTGGTGTTCAAGACCACTGATCCTATCCTCTCATCACTGCTCTATTTTTGAGTCCATCTAATGAGATTTATTTTTTAAAATTTCAATTACTGTATTTTCTACAATTTTCACTAAGTATTTTTATATAACTTCTACTGCTTTGTTGGGATTTTCTTTTTCTTTCCTTTTCTTTTTTTCTTTCTTTGTACCAAGAGACTTTGTAATTGACTGTTGAAGCATTTGTATGATGATTGCTTTAAAATATTTGTTAGATAATTCTCACACCTGAATCATATTGGTATTGATATCAGTTGATTGTGTTTTCTACTCAGATTGCATTTTTTTCTGATTTTTTTTTATAAAACAAAGAATTTCAATTTTCTCATGAATAGTTTGGCTATTACATAAGAAAACTATTGATCCTACTTAAAATTTCTATTTTAACATTTAAAAAAATTTAGTTATATATGGACGCAATATCTTTATTTTGCTTATTTATTTTTATGTGGTGCTAAGGATCGAACCCAGTGCTTCACACCTGAGAGACAAGAGCTCCACAACTGAGCTACAACCCCAGTCCCTGTACATAGGTTTTAACTACTTCTGTGGACTTTGGTTTGATTTTCAGGGATCTTGCGATGCTGTTCAAGGTTGCTTTTTTTCCACTGGTGTTGCTGAAGCTCCTGCTCAGTGTGACTCTAGGTCTCCTCTGAGGGAACTGTTTGCCCTCAGCTGCCTTGGATATAAAGATTTTAATTTAAGTAGTGAAACAATGAATTTTTATCTTAGAACTTGGCATATGTGTGTGTGTGTGTGTGTATTTTTCTAACTTAGGATGAGTTCAAAGAATTTAAATCTCAATGCACAAAATATGGCAACTAATTTTAATCAATATCAAATGATTACACAATTATCTACTTGCAAAAATTGAGTGATAATTTAAATTTTACTTAAAAAATTCTCACTGAATATTACATTTATAACATTCAAATATTAGTCATTGTAGTTTTTACTATTATAAGTTTCTAGCACTTAAACATTTGAAAAACAAAACAGTTTTATTATATTTCTATTGGTTTGCTGAATTATGATGATGACAAAGTAAGAAAAAYTAATAACAGTTTTGATTTAGTAGAAACAGCTACAAGATTGGRTATTTATTAGAGAAAACTGGAAACTGGTTGGCTAATTTGTCAGATAGTTGGGACATGAAGAACAAAAGGTAAGACTTGTGGGTGCCCATGAATAGATGGCTGAATGTGACTGATATTTTGAGTGGGAGACAGCCTGGTAATACAGCTCTCAAGATGTTAGAGGATAAACATGCTGATCTGCTTTACCAGTGACCAGAATAGATGTTTTCTTTATTATGCAACAAAATTGGATAACTTTAAAAAAATGAAGCAGCTCATCAAAGTAAAACTTTAGAAGCACCAAGATAGTAAAATGTCATGTCTTATTAAATGTTAAATGACTAATAGCAGCAACACTCTCAATACTAATTTTTCAATGGTGCTTGGAAGAAATATATGTTATACTCTTAAATCTTACCTTGGATTGGATCATGCTTTAGACTAGAATTGTCCCTGGGCTCTCAGTAATACTAATTGATGTCATCACTTGGAAAATGACAGGAAACTGAAGGAAATAGTCTCTGTTTGATGTAATCTACTTTTTGAAAAGCCTTGGTATCCTGTTTTCTATCAAGTATGTCAAAGCAAGAAGACTAATATACTTTAGAAAGCTGTTATAGACCACAGATACCTCTCTGGCTTAATAAGGAAGGCACACTTACATATGTGAGTGAGAGAAAATATAAGAAACTGTGGGCTTCCAGTGCCACAGTTTAAATCACAAGACAAGTTAGTAACTTTTGTTTCTCTTTTGCCCAAATCTGGAGCACTTTGCAATCAAAGATAGAGTGAAAAAGAGGGAAACTGCATAGAGAGGAAGAAAACTACCTTTCTTTGAGGTCTTCATGAAGTAACTTGTATTTGGTACTCTCCAGCTAAACCCACTGCAGCTAATGTCACTAAGAAAACTGAAGTCATGGCGTAGAGGTATTTGCAACATGTTGTCATCAATGAAGGATGAGTGCCCAAAATAYGTAAAAAATTCTTACTAATCAGTATTTAAAAGGCAAATCAATTTTTTAAATGGACCAGGGTTCACTGTATTATTAATATTTTTTTTGAAGAGAAGAAAAATAGTCATGTTTGGCTTGCATCTGCTAAAGAGCACCTCGAAGATACAGCTTTTTGATGGCAAACATACTGGCTAGATCCTCAAAGCCAGGGCTGGCCCTCCCACTGCACTGCAGGTAGGAGGGGTATCTCTGTTTCCCAGCCTGGGCCTTTTCCCAAAGCCACTGATGCAGAAACATTTTGAACAAAATCTAAATGATGATAAACTGGGGAAAGTGCTAATGTAGACATGGCTTGGCCTGGCTCCTGACTCAGATAATCTGAATCCTGTCAACATTATTAGGAATTCAACCTGCTCAGTTTCCTAATGGGGTTAGATCAAACACATTCCAGAAGTCAGAATGCAGCACAGTAAACACGTGGAACAGAGAGAGCTGATTTGGAGACCTGATCCAATACACCACCTGATCTTCTCATCCATTTCCCAAACACTCAGAAGGTTACAGAAAGGAAAAGTAGCTAATGCATGAAAAGTGCTTTCTGAAATCACCAACACTTATTTTCCCAAGATGAAACTTTATTTGGGGCATCAAGCAACATATTAAAAGAGGTGAGTCGTGCACMATTCATGTCCTTAATTCCATAATTGTACATCAGATATTCTGTCCTCTTAAAAAGGGCATACAGTGAGCAAAGATGAGAAGCAGATATGCTTTTATACATAAACCTATCAATATAGTGCTTAAGAGATTTCTTCTTTAGACTTCATTTTTTCTTCCTTAAAAGGCTGTTAGGTTTTATTTGGGGAAACTAAAACAACTAGCTCTTACACTGAGGATGAGGTTTCTCCCCAGAGTTATTTATGAAATAATGCAGCTGCCTTTTTCCTTGAAGGGATTCTTGTCTTCTGGAATTCCCTTCACCAGTGGATCTTCTCCAGAACGTTCTTCGATATAGTTCTTTATTTCTTCAGAACACTTAGACACCTGATGTACAGAAACGAAAAATAATAAATAAATAAATATTAATAGAAAGAATTAGTTCAGAAATGTTCAAACTTTATCATCACCTTTTAGTGAAATTATTATAGTTGTATAAGCCAGCTTTACTTTTTAAACATTTATATTTATATATAATTTCTGTACTAGACACTTAATAATATTATTTCTATATAAGATATAATCTATGTCAATATAGTTCTTACTGTTGGTCAAGATCAAAATATTTCAAAGTCACTGTAYTAAGTAAATCATCCCTAGGAATTTGCATTCATTATGTCTCATATGAGTTCCTTCCTAGGTTAAAACATAATTTTGACATGTTTACCATATTTTTGGGAACTCAAACATATTATACTTTAAAATTTTCATGATAATGAAGAAATGCAGCAGGAAATAATGCCCAGTTTTGGCGTGTGTCGTGCCTCAATTCTCACTCAGTGGTATGTGCCCTGTCTGGAATTTCACACAGTGACAGCAGCATTAGGGGAAAGCACTCTGGGAAGGGTGGAGTTGCCCACATAGCTCATTCTGTGTCTCTGTTCATAGTCCCTTCCTGCTGCATAAAGGCAATAATCATAAAAAAGCCTTATCAAAGGCTTATTAAGCTTATCTGAAATTCTTGGGTTCATGTAATCAGTTTAAACTTTTTCTGCAATGAAAAAAGGATTGAATAGTTTCTTCAAAAAGTTTATCCTTAAAGGACAGTTTGAAAGAGTTTACACACACACACACACACACACACACACACACACGGAATAAATTGGAATGAAAAGAGAAGAATTGATGTCTTAATAAATGTTTATATTCCTAGTAAGAAATTAGAAGTAAAAACTGTAGATGCTTTAACCAATTGCACTGGAGATCTATTGAAAGCAGGCGAATATTCCCATTGAATTTGTTAGCTAGATTAGTAGCTTCAAAATATTTTAATGGATATCGCTATAACATGTTTTCATATGCATCCCAAAATGTACATGATAATTTACTTATAAATAAGTGCAGATACCACAGTGTTAATATATTATACATAATTTTAAAGCACACATAATTATGGAACTATGAAATTTAAAACTTGACAAAAATAAAAATTTCATTATTTCACTTACAAACCCCAAGGGTTATTCTTTGCACAGCAGAGTGGAGGTCACTGATTCAAAATTTAAAACTAGGTGATACAACTTAAAATATAGTTATGTAACTTTTTACAGCAAAATAAAATCTTTTCAAGGACCATTCTTTCAGATAATATTTGCTCTCAATTGTTGCTGCCATTCATAGGGTGTGTTATTATAAATAAATTATCAGAATTGATGAAGCAAGTGGCTATAACCTGGAGTCTGTGGCCCTGAAGAAATTTCTAGATAAGATTCAAGTTCACATTATATTTGTTCTTATAGAGGCTTTTTCATTAGGTTTCCAAAGAGGTCTATRATCTCTGAAAGTGAATTATTGTTCCTCTGATACATTTCCATTCATGATCAAGGGAATATGTTTGACCAACATTCTAATTAGCYAGAGCCAGATGTAACTTGTGAATTTGTGTCCTTGGCCTGAACAGAGCACACAGCTCAGATGTTAACAGTCGAGTACCAAAATAATTAACTGGGCATCAGGAAAAGCATTTTCAAGTATCTGCCTTAACACTCTCAGTGGTCTTATGTAAGGAACTAGTCAGCTGCTCCSACACTCAGGTTTTTGTTTTTCATTTGTTTTTAATCCTTAAAGTGAAGTAGTTGAATAGTCTCTAGGAGTCACAACACTAGCCTAGTACTAATAGTCTATAATTTACAGTGCATAATAAAATAGATTTGAATATTTTTATTAGGACTTAGATGTCTCTGTCTTGTCTAGCAAGCCTAACCCTGAAGTTTTCTCTTCCTCTGGCATACAATTGGAGTTGGGAAACTGACTTAACAGGGCATGTCTTAAGGGGTAGTGGTGTCTGGCAGGGAGAAGCTGCTAAGGAATAATGCTTGTTTTCTACACTGTCACTTGCCTGATATCTAATTTGAAACATGAAATAAGTAAAACAGAGTTGTTTCTTTTTTCCCCCTTATAGTTCTGCATAGTGATACCAAATATTAAGATATTGCAACTTTGCACAGGCAATGTATTATTTCAATATAAGCAATTCTATTTAATTCGTAATACTAAGTGGTAAAATCAAGGTGGCCAATACTTGCTATACTGGGGKATTTGCCTTGACTGAAATGAGACCCTTCAAGAAACAAGCTTATTAACTGGGTCCTGTTTATCCCTATGAACATTGGCATTTTGAAAGTTTCAGCATAGAGAAGAAGGACATCCCATTGCAAATTTTAGAAGGAGCCAAGATTTGGAATTAGGAAGTAGAAGGTTAAGTTTGAAGACAAAAAAAACAAAATGTGTAAAAGTAAAACTTGAAAAAATCTACCAATCATCACAGACTGAAATAGAATATTAAGAAGAATGACAATATTTATAAGATTTGCTTCATTTCCATTCTTTTTCTTAAAATTTTTAAAGTATTAAATGATAAATAAATAAATTCAGCTCAAAACATTCTTGCTACAGAGAAAAGATTAGATAACTTCCTTTAAAAAAGAAAAATCTATCCAAAAGCTTTCTTCTCCTGTGCCACAGATTGCTTGATGGTATATAAAGGGAAGAAAGATTAGTTTCCTAATTAAGGCTCCCATTACCAGTACGAAATTGAAGTAAAAGCTACAAAACTTTCATCAAGTTTCAGGGGACATCTCTGAATACAGAGGCATATGTTTTTGATGAAATAGTAGTCCCTTCTCAGTCGTGTCTAAAATTTTTAAATTGTAACTCATATACATCTCAGTAGAGATATAATTATTTATAAATAAATAGATTCTACTGTATGGACCCATTATGCATATTTATAAAACTGGATATTATAAAGACATGGGATTTACAAATAAATAAAAACAGAAACTCGGACATTTTGTTTCCAAGCTCCCGTGGACAAAACTATCACATCACTGAAGACCACTGGYGAAATTCAAAACTAGGTGAAGTAGTTGGAAGACTTTAAAATGTGGTTTTAGAGAAATTCAAATACYATTCTTTCCAGAACCAACTAGCCATCGTCATTTTCCTATCGCTGAGTTTTTTAAACCAACTGCTGTTTAGTTCAATGCAAGTTCCTTGTCTCTTTCCCAGGTACAGGCTCCTTCCCTGTTAGGCATTTGGCTTAATGCGACATTCTTCATCAGGTCCTTGCTCTCCTCTACCTCCTATCCCTCACATCCACTGGCAGATCCCAGGCACTGCTAAAGYCTTACTTAAAGAGAAGCTGCAAGAATAAATACAAACCACTTGTTTTATTGCAACTAACTAGGAAAAGCACACCCTCCTTTATTTCAGAGAAGGAAGTATTCTGGAACAGACACACTTACTTACCTGTTGTCTCTGCAGCTTCACTTCTTTGCGAAGTTGCTCAACTTCCATCTTCAGCTTTTCTTTCTCTGGCAAATCTTCCATGTGAAGGGCAGGCATTTTTGCTCCAGCCCTGGGCCCAGGGGGAGCTCAGGCAGTGGAGCGGCTSGAAGTGCTGTGAACCAGGGCGCCTCCCGAAATAACTGCGGGCCCTGGCCTCCCGCCCGCCAGCGCAGGACGTGACTGCCTCCCAGCACCGCTGTCCCCAGCTCCCCGGGGGCTCGGCTTCCTCCGGGACGCCTCCTCACGCCAGCCCTTCCTAGAGTCCAGGGAGCCTAAGCTTTTTCCCAGTCCCTACAACCCCCGAGGTCGTACCCCGGGAACTCGGGGTCAGTCTTGAGTCAAGGTCGGATCAGCTTCCAGCACAGGATCTCGCAGCAGGGATGCTGGTCCCGCGCTGCTGAGCCCTGGACCTGCCACGCCCGGGGGACCCACTGGACCGGGCACAACAAAAGTTTTACTTTTGGTCTTTTTTTTTTTTTTTTTCTTTTCCCCTTTCCAAGTCACATCCGGGTTTTGTTTGTGAAACAAGGAAAAGAAAGACACTGCCCAGCAGGAAATAACGGTCATTCACCTCTCCAAGAGTTTTAAAAATGTACAGTATATGACTTTTCCATATATATATATTTGGAAAAGTTATATACTGATGTGAATGCTGGAGAAAAAGCCCAACGGAAAAATGAAACTCAGCTGGTACTCAGTTGATGTGCCTCTGTCTATCCCATGAAAGGCCTAGAAGGAATTTTATACATCTTGAGAGGAAAAGGGACTTATTAGCTTGTGAACAATATTTACAACTTGCATGGAAATTTTCTGTCATTAAATAAGTATCTGCACCTTCAACAAGAGCTTTTGTTTTATCGTGTGGAGAATGTTCTGTGATCCTTAGAGGTTAAAGAAATGGTATGGGAAGACAGGGCATGAATCCCTCTACTCCCTGATCCCCCAAGGCTGGAGCAATGCTTTGACACTGAGGATTTTGAATTCCTGGCTCAGACATTTCCTGGATATAGGCAGTCGAGTCMTTTAATATGGGTTTCTCCACTTTCTGGAAATTAATGTTCATCTAGCTGCCACTTTGTATGGTCAGCAAGTGTCTGTTGTGAAAACTGTTTACATGCAATGGGAACTTTCTCTTTGACTATAAAGTAAAACTTAATAGTACTCAAAAGACTGGAAGAAAAAATATATAAATGTAAGAAATATTCCCATCAAATATTTCTCTCTCTTTCTTTCTCTCCAGAGGCAACCTGGAGAGAAATTGAATTCAAGTGTTTTTCACTTAGAGKCATTAAGTAAATTTAGCACATTTGTTTCCCTGTTTAGTAAACAGAAGCTCCACCCACTTATCCTTAATGTCTATATTAGAATGAAAAGAATAATGAGTTATTTATTGAGCATTACCCAGTTGTAGTCCCAGCTCTGCCCCTGGCCACCATGAGAAAAGTCATTTAGATTTTACTGGGTTTTAGTTTCTAGTTTGTAAAATATATGATAGAGCAGGGGAGAGGGTGAATTCACCAAAGTATATTATATCTCTAAAAGTATTTATATGCCTAAATATGATAAATCACTTCCACAAAGAATATATTTAGTAGCTTCATTTTCTATATTTAATATAGAAAGTCATAAAAATAAAAGTATTCTATAAAAATAGAAGGTTTTGGGGGGAGGGGACCAGGAATTGAACTCAACACTCAACCACTGAGCCACATCCCCAGCCCTATTTTTATTTTATTTAGGGACAGGGTCTCACTGAATTGCTTAGTGCCTCACAGTTGTTGAGGCTGACTTTGAACTSGAGATTTTCCTGCCTCAGCCTCTCAAGCTGTTGGGATTACAGGCATGGGCCACCATGCCTGGCTAAAATAGAAGCATTTTTGTCTGGAATTTTATTTCCTATGAAATAATCTAATTATATACATGGATATCTATAAGGCTATATTGGTTTTTGGTTCTTTAATTTTTTCCACAGTATTAAGAGACTTATATTAGAGAAAACTAACATTAGGCTACTGTTTTTTTTTTTTTAAACTTTGTATTATCAAGTAATTCACAGTAAATGTCTTATTAAGTAATTAATCTGAAATGGATTATAAAAGGTTGAGATCCCATGTTCACACAGCATTCTGGAAACTGTCTTGTTATTTGATTTTTAAATAGTAAAATAATGCAGAAACTTTGTTTTCTTAAACAAAAGGGTATATACTCACCCATTCCTTAAGCATTATAGTTTATCTTCCAGAGAAAAATCATGGTAAGCAATTGCTATCAACAAAATTCAAAAGTTTTGAGTAAGCTTTACATCCAGGGCCTCCTGTATGGTAGACTAGTGTTCTAGTATTGAAGATGCATTCCCAGCCCAGAGTAAATACAATTTTTGAATGAACAAATTTTAAAATTCATATTAGTTGTGTCTAACATTTTACTTATATTTTACATATTATTCCTAATGAAAATAATTTTACAAAATAATATGAGTATAATATGAAACCTCTTGGGCCAAATATGATAAGTGTAACCAGAAATTAACTTATTAGGTATCCCCTGTTTTTAGATAAATTTGCTTTAAAAAAAAGTAAAAGTAACAATCTTCATTTTTAAATTAAAAGAGCAATGATCACAACATATTTATTTTGGCATGAAATAAGGAGGGAAACATTTCTTTTTACTATTTTCCTGATTTATTAAGTACATTACTAAAAATTCACATGAAAAAACTCTATATGAAAATATTGAAAGAAGTTATGTTGGAATTGATTTAATATTAACTCAGGTTAAAAAATCACTATTCTGGTCTTATTTTATCTTGTATGTTTGCCAGGCACACATTTTGTCTGCCTCCCTTTCATGGATATAAACTAGATTACCCCTCAAATTCTGCATTCTTACATTTATAAAATGGAAACTGTTTAGAGGTCATTAGAATGATAGTTTAAGGAAGTATTTAACAAACATTTGATGCAGTCTTAGTTCATTTGATTTGGATTTTTATCACATGTCAATTTCCAGGAACTTGGTCATTTCTTTAGATTCCTTTTCTGGGTAGAGATGATGTCAGGTCATAGGATGATCTGTGTCTGATGCTTCTGTTACTTCAACAACTACTTRTAGTTTACAATACCAAAATGATTGATCAGTTTAGTTCCTACAAGACCTTACTTCCCATCATAGATAATTGTTCATTCTCATTGTTCAGTTGACTATTTTCTTCATGTTAAAAACATTCTTTAGGAATTTAGGAAGTTTGAGTTAAGTTTTGTTTTGAAATCTGGCCAAAATCAAATCAGTCCAAATAAAAATAACAGGAGGGCATGTTTTGTTTGTTGAGTTGAACTTGAACTCACCTACATGTGCAAATATGTGCAAAGTAATCTCGAACTTCAAGTAGTTTAAATGATATATTGTAATATTTATAACTTGTTCTAACTAATGATACCAGAATGTTTTGTTGAAGAGCCAATTGCTGTGGTTGTGCCAGGCGTATTTTTTGTTTCCCTGGAGTCTTACCTCATTTCATTTAACCCAGTAACCAGTGGTCCTGAAATAACAACTTCTGAACAAAATAGTCTTTGGTGTGGTGATAGCCGTGCAATCTCTGGGAGTCATGATTTAATGGACAGTCTTTCTCTATACTTSCTTCCTATGATTTCTCCCTTACTCAAAATTCTGCTGACACTCTGTGTTTTTTAGCAATAAGAATTTCACCCTACTGTTGATTTAATCATTAATTAAGCCATAAGAATTTTGAATTCTCCAGTATAAGCAATGCACAAGTACTGAGCTTGCCTGTTTTTAACTGAATTAAATATTTATGAGGTCAATTAAATTGTAGAGACAGTTTGTTAGTTAGTATGGCAGTTTCAAAGATGAAGAGGGCTTCAGGCTTGGAAAATGTACAATACAACATTGAAATTAAGACAACCATACAAATCATAATAACAGAAAATAATGTAATGTTAAGTGACTTAAGAGATACACAAAATACTCTTGAGAGAGTGATGAACATCCTATCTCAGAAGAGGAGAAGAATTTCAAAGACTGAAATGAGATGGGGTGGAGAGACCTTTCAGATGGAGGGGTCAGTGTGGCCAAGTTTCAAATGGGGAAAGACAGGATCATGTCAGGGACTGTGTGTTCACTACCAGAAGTCTCCTGGGCTTACAATAATGAAGGACATTTATTGAGGCTTTTTCTATATTCCAGTTTCTGATCTAAAAGGTTTCAGATATCCAAGTATAGATAATGCCTCATTTTATACATGAAAGAAGAAAAAAAAAAAAAGGAGTTTCATGGAGCTGAAGTTGCTTATCCAAAGTCCTCAATAAAGTAGAAAAGAGTGTTTTAACTGAGAATCATCAGGCTCCCAAATCTACCTCCAGTTGGAAGATGAAAACTAGAGATTAAATTGGTTAGGACTACACTTTAGATGTTACTGAATTCAACAGCATTAAACTTGTGTTTATTTTCATCAGAAAAAAAAAGAATATATGGAACACTTCTCTAAACACTAACTTTCAGATGGGAAACTCTTAGAGGCAGACCACAATTAAATAAAATACATAGTATGATAGATGGTGATGGGTGCTATGGAGGAAAATAAAGGGGGAGGGAGCAAGACAGGAAGTGCTAGTGGTGGGTGGGAGGAATTTAAATAGAAGAGTTATCCTCAGGAAAACAGAGATAAGAGAATCCATGGTTTATCCTGGAWTCCCTTAACACCCAAAGCATATTTCATGAAGATATGTGGTGGAGTGTACTGCTATTTAGCCAGAAACACAGTCTTGACCTGAGAATTTAGCCAATTCTCATGTTTGAGGCATTATTTTCTCCATTTCAAAATGAAGGGGTTGGACAAGAATCAACAGATATTTGTTGAGCATTTACTATGGTCACTGAGTTGAGAGCCAAATTTGGGAAAACCTTCAGACTCCCTTCCAGATTAAATAATGGATGGTATTTATCTTGTTTTTAAAAGATGACAGTCAATTAACATTTGAGTATTCTGATGACTGAGGCATCCAGAATAGCATTGCAAATGGGAGGCAGTAAGAAAGAAACACAACAAAAATTTCTGAGTTGAAGTAATGATATTTGTCATTTGTTACAGAAGCAGAGGCAAGTTAGGAATAGCAAATTTTCTGTCATTTGCCTTCACCTTTCTGTAAAGGAGATTACTGGTGAGGGTTTTCATGGGGCTGGGATGAAGTAGCATATACCTTAAAGAATTCTGAAATGTTACCTTGTTTCTTTTGTAGTAATAATACTAGTTAACATTTATTGGGTCTCACTGTGGGCCAGGAAATATGTTACATGTTATAGTTTCTCTAGTATATTATTTAAATTCCATAAGAAAGAGTAGTTAGAACCATTATCATCTTCAGTTTCCAGTAGAAGAACTGCATTATGGTTTGGGCATGAGGTGTCCCCCCAAAGTTCCTATTAGTCAGGTAATTCAGAAGTAAATGACTAGGTTATAAGGGCTGTAACCTAATTATCCTAGTTTGAATGGATGATTCAAACTAGATGGTGGTCATAGGCAGGTGGGGGGCATGACTAGAGGAGGTGGGTCACTGGGGTATGCTCTGGAAGGGTTGTTCTCTGTGCCCCCCACGTCTGCTTTCTGACCCCACCAGGAGCTGAGGAGCTTTTCTCTTCTGGGCCCTTCTCCCACGATGTTCTGCCTCATCTTGGGCCCAAAGCAATGGAGTTTAAGACCCCTGCAACTATAAGCCAGAATAACCTTTTCCTCCCCTAAGTTGTTCACATTGGGTATTTTAGTTGCAGCAACACAAAAGCTGACTAAAGCAAACAAAGATTTAGAAAGAATTAAGGAACATCCAAAGTCAGTTAGGCAAGAAAGTGGCAGAACCAGAACCCTCTGGTTTCTAAGTCCTTTCTAATAACTTTTATCCTGTTGCTAGTTAAATTCACTATGCTTCAGTGACCACAGACTGAACCCTTAATCCAGTTAGCATTCTGGGGGGAAATCACATCACTGGTGAGAAGTAGAGTTGGGTAAGAATGGAGAAAGAGGTTACATTAAAACCATCCCCATTGACTTGGGGAAAGGAGAAAGGGAAACAAAAATCACCAAGAACAAAACCTTGCAGCATATATCCTGCCAAGATAGGTCATCAGTGTGTCAAAACAATAGACTTCCTAATTCTGTGACCAAGAGAAAGGTTGAGAAAAGCATGTCTAACTTGTTACATTTCAAAGTAGAATATTATGAGTATTGAAAGGAAAGTGAAGAAACAAAACATTTACTGTCTGCTCATAACTTCCAATAGTAAGAGATTAATTAAAAGACAATTGTAACTGTTTTTAAAGAAGATTCCATCAATATTTATTGTCAATTATGTATGAAATCCTGTGCTAACTTTCTTAAGAAAAACATAAAATCATCTGTTGTTAATCCCAGTTTTTATTAAAGTTTACATTTATAAATTTAAACATTCATGTGCATGTTTAATTATACATGAGAAAAAAATCACATTTTCTTTACAATTACAGATATTCTAAAGACTTTTTTTTTTCTTTATGAAATCACACAGCCTCCTTTGAGCTCTTTGAAGGGATTTTTGTCTTCTGGGATACCTTTTACTAGTGGATCTTCCCCAGATCTTTCTTCAACATAATCCCTTACTGCTTCACAACATTTGGACACCTTAAGAGGAAGGAGAAAGACAACTCATAAGGTATAAAACAGAATACTGTAGATTTTGAGAATTTATTTATTACAGTAAACTTTCACGTTGTATCTTTACAAATGATTCTTTCTGTTTTCTGCAGATGCATATGTGAGTTTTACATAGAAGAAGAAATAGCTGCCCCCAACTTGCCCTCCTGAATATTTACAGACACTGGCCACATTCCAGGGAAGGTTCCCAGCAGAACCTGCCTTCAGCTTCAAAGGAGACAAGATCCAGGGGTCGAACACAACTGGAGCACAAGTGAATATTAAATCTTCTTCCTCATTCCAAAAAGTGACTAGTAAAGGTAGAAGGGAATGAGTAATTTTAAATTCCAGGCTTATCACCTCCTGGATATGCAGAAATACACACGTATACTTACACTTTAAACTCGTCCACAAGGACTGACCATGAGCTCTGTGGGGTTGGGAACTTTGGCTGGTTTGTTTAATGCATCCCAGGTGTCCAGAGCAGAATGTGCATTCAGTTGGTGCTCAATAAATAAGTATGTACTGAGCTGAGTCACTCATGTTTATGAGTTTGCCCCAACTCACCTGTAACATTATTATCACAGCTTAATTAAAAAATAAAACAACAAAAACAACAACCAAAAAAAAAAAAAAAAAAAACAAGCTTTAGTGTTTTTTGGACTCAGCCAGAAAGAAAGGAGAGAGGCAATGTTGTATACACATGTAACTACAAATGTGTGTAGTACTAGTTGGTAAGGGATCCACTTATTCATGCTTTTAGCTTCAATTTGTTTTGTTTTCAATTAATGTTATTTATGACGGTAACATTGAAATACTTCATTTTTGGAAGTTTACTCAGTGACCATTTCTTAAATTATTAAACAATTCATTGATTTTTTTTCAAGTAAAATCTTTATATCATATATATATTTATTTATATTGATATATGTGTATGTATGTGTGTGTGTGTCTGAATGTTTGTATCTCCCCAAATTTATATGTTGAAATCCTAAGCCTTGATGTGATAGTATTAGAAAATGGAGTCTTATGAGAGTGATTAGATCATGAAGGTAGAACCCTCATGAATGAGATTAGTGTCCTTATGAAAGAGACCCCAGAGAGCTACCTTGCCTCTTTGGCCAGGTAAAAACACAGAGAAAAGGAAAGATATTCATTGCAGTGTATGAACAGGGAGCAGGCCCTTGATCTTGGAATTACCATTGTTACAGAACTGTGAGAAATAAATTTCTGTTGTTTATGAGCCACCCAGTACATGATATTCTGTTCCAGCAGCTTCAATAGACTAAGACAAATGTGGATGTTTGTGTGTGAATATGTGTGTGTGTGTGGGGGGGGGGGTTAGGTGTGTGTTTATCTCTAGAGCAAGAAGGAGAGAGAGAAAGTTCTTACAGTCTGATATTAAATCACTTTGACTTCAAATAGCTGGGAGATGTTGAGTAATGGAGAAAAAGAAACACCAAAACTTTATTTTCCTCAAATTAGAAAGATAAGAACTTTAAGTCTACGAGTATGTTTTCCAAGCTTTTGTGCTAGCTGTGGATTCAATTTTATCTTTTCATAAAAACATGTTTTGTGTGTTTGAAAGGGCAACAGGGGACTTTGAGGCAATTATAAGCATCAGATAAGCTAAAAACCTAATTTTGATTGGGACTAAGAATTTTGAGCAAGGTATGAAAAGAATATAAACCCCTTTGCACTTTGTCCTGATAAAACGATATATTCTTCAAAAATGTAAGATATGCTGCTATCATTTGTGGAGGAGTTTGAGTTCTGCTAACTTTCCTAAAATGAAGAAATCTAAAGTACAGATCTACATTTTCCAAGCTTTAGTCACTATTTGTTTGGTGGAGAATTAATTACGTTGCCATGTCTGCCCCTTCTAGTGGCAGAGAACTCTTGGTAACCATTTCCAAGAGCTCTCAGATGCTTTTGGAAGAAACCAGTGAGTTTTTGTGCCAGAACTCATCCTTAGTTGCAAAAGAAGAATAGAATGTACTCATTCATTACTGCCCAAGACAGTGCTGGAGAGGATGAGGTCATGATTTAAAGACTTCGACAACATCAAAATATTGCATGTAAAGAGAATTTAGAAAAGTACAAACAAAATGTCTACGTACATTGTTTCATTTTAATGCTTCACTAAAATGTAGTCTCTTTCCCCCTCTTTTCCTCTCTCCCTTCATCCTTCTCTTCTCGTGTTCCTTACTTCCTCTCTTCCTGCCTTCCTTTCTCCTTTCTCTCTCCTTCTTACTTTCTTTATTTTTAGCCACTCTTTTAAAATGTGAAAATGTTTTTTTAGCTTAGTGATCATACAAAAAACAGGTTAAGGAAGGGCTGATCTTGGCATAGGGACAATAGTTTTTCAACCCTTGACCTGGAGTCTAAATCAGAGACATAATCTTKGTGTTTAACTTTCTTAATCTCTAATGAATTTTTACATGAATAATTTATTTTTAAGCACATTGAGTCGCTTGGGTATATAATAGATGAACAGCAACAACAGTCAATGTTTTATAACCTGGGATTCCCAGAGCATCTCTTGCTTAAAATAAAATTCTATGGAGAGCTGCAACTTACCAGTACCCTTTCCAGTGCCAGTTCTTTCTTGAGTTGGTCAACCTCCATCTTCAATTTGTCCTTTTCCGACAGGTCCTCAATATTGATCACTGGCATCTTTTGCCTGCTGTAAAAATAGAGTGTTAACTCAAACAGCTGAATTTCTGGACTTCAATCCAGTCTTAGCTCTTCCCTCGGCTCTTAACTTACTAAGCAAACTGCTCTTGGTTTTTATTTTAAATTTCTTAAGACAGTGAATTTCTTGCGAGCTCTCTCTGAACAACTCTAGCACTGCACATTAGCCTTGGGGTTTCAAAGCTTCACTATAATCTTCACTAATATGATTAAAGCAAGCGTTTGACTCTCACACCTGCCAGTGGTTTGTAAGAGGTGTCAGTTTAGTTAGCATATAACCAAAAAATTTAAGTCTCCTCCTTTCCCCTGGTCTTTTGCACTTTGCAAACTTTGGGTTTTCAACCCTCAACTCTGGTGTCAAGCCCTCCACCCCATAATTTATACCATTTAACTCAGTTTGAGGTCATTTTGAGGACTACCCATTAATCCCCTAAATTGCTAGAGTATTTAATCTGGTATTAAAGGAAAAGTATCTAAAAAGTGTCAGTATAAATTTATTATAGGTAATGGACTGAAATGTGAACCAACAAAATAAAAATAGAGTAAACAAACAACCTTCTTTATCAGAAATAAACTAGTATATTACTTAAAAGTGTTTCTCCACACAATACCTGGAATTTGTATGTAGATGTTATAATGAATTGCATAATGCTGATGAGCAGATGTAACAGGTTAAAGAGAACACAGGGAGTCTGATCTACCAATGCACATCACATGAGAAGAACAGACTCTTCTGACTTGTTAGAGATCTCTTTTCCTCAATTAAACCAACACGTAATGGGGAAGATGCTTTCTAGCCTAGTACTCCAATGAAATTGCCTGGAAAGAATTTCATTGTAGCCAATGAATTCAATTTTTTTCCTTCTCTGGTCTTCTCTTTTTCTATTTTGTCTCTTTAGTTTAATTTTTATAAGGAAGTACTTTTTTGAAAGTACACATATTCAGATCATATGTCATTTCAGAGAACATGACATTGAATGTTTGCATGAAAATACTCTGCTAATAATATATAGGCAGTGAACTTATTTCCTTGTATTAATACAATGTTTTCATTTCCAGAACCTTTAAGGAAATATTGTTTCCCTTCCCAGTCTTATAATATTCTTTTACTCTTTAGGAAAGAGGTAGTTTAGGGTATTTGGGGGGTTAACTGTCATGCAGCAAAGGCCAGTAAAGACAGACAAGAATTCTCTTTGGGCACGGAGCCCAGTGTTTCATATATCATTGTGTTTTGGGTGTTATATTCTTAAGAAACAATCTGACAATAAAGAGATCATTTCTTCYTGTGCAATAATTGTCTGATATTTGACAGCCCATTCTCAAATTTATTCTTCCTTCTTACCCAATTTCAGGCTATGTATAAAACTTCATAAGTATTTCTGCTAGCTTTATCTGCTTATTTTGTCCTTTTTACAACTTTTCTCCACACTGAAAAACTTCTCATACTTCACACTTCAGTGTGTGTAAGAATTTCTTTGGTGTATAGTAAAAATAGTGTATTTTTTTTTTCAGAATGTATTTTTAATTTCTTAATGAGAGCACATATCTCATTAAACATGAGCCCAATCAAAGAGCTTTTGACTTGGCAAATCTGGGACAATACTAAAGATTTATTTTTCTCTATTCCAGGAAGTTATACTACATGATGCCAAAAAAAAAAAAAAAAAGTCTTTCACTTGCTAGCTGTGTGGCCTTGACCAAATTATCTAACCTGGCCATGCCTTGGTTTACTGGAAAATAGGAGCAATACTAGGTTGAAGTTTGTTTTGTTTTGTTTTTGTACTGGGCATTGAACCCAGGAGCACATTACCACTGAGCTACATCTTTATCCCTATTTATTTATTTATTTGTTTATTTTGAGACATGGTCTCCCAAGCTGCTGAGGTTTTTCATTAAATTGCTGAGTTTGGCCTSGAACTCCTGCCTCCAGAGTTACTGGGATTAGAGGTGTGTACTACCAGGCCCACCTTGAAGATATTCTATTCTTTAAAAAACAGAAACCTCTTTTCCAGGTTGAGGTACCCATCCTCTAGCAGCTACAGGTATTAATTGTCATGGGCAGACCTTCTGTGCAAGTTGGCTCTTGACTGACGGAAACAATTTCACCTGTAACACCTGGAAGACTATGTCCTTACCTATCCCTGAGGGTGATCTAAGTGTAGCAAATGGCTGGCTGAATCTAGCAGCTTTGGCCTTTGTTTCTTGGTTGAAAATCTTAGTTGTAGTTGAAAAATTACCAGAGTTCCAGAATTTCAGGATGATACTTGATTTTTGAAATTACATTTTTGACTAATTTCTGCCCCATCCATTTTTTCCTCACTTCTTCAGAGATTTCCCCCTGAGAGCTTACCCTCAGTAAGCCATCTGGGTAAGAATCCCTGTCTTAGACTTTGCTTCTAGGAAACCCAGTCTAAAATAGTGAACTGTTAGTAGAGAGGCCATACATTTCATAAGTTTGTGTCCTCACCACTACTTATGGTGTAGAGAAGAGAATCAGCAAGTGGTGGTAAGTTTACTTAGCATTTGTCATAAAATTCACCTAGATATAGAAAAATTTGCAAATTATCTGACTTCATGTATTAACAAGTAATGTCTCAACTCTAAAATGTGATTTACCATGTTTAATAACATATAATCTCATTTAAAAAAATCACTTCATTTTGAGGAAGACTCTAGGAAGCTCACAAAAATCGATGCCACAGTTCTTGTATTAAAAGAAAAAAAGAGTAGATCACAATTTTCACTCCTTCGAGGACACCCAGCCACACAAGGGATAACATCATACATTGTCTGCATGGAGATTCCTAATATTTACAGTTATATTAGAGTCAAGGGATCAAAGAATTCATATATAACTTTGTCTCCTTTACTCTCTTATCCTGTTTTTCAGATGAGGCAAACATGGCCTAGCATCTTTAAGTGTTCAACATCATCCATTAAGAGGCAGTAAAACTGAGCTTACCACACCAGGTATTTGATTTCTGTTTTGGGGTGTTTTCACTTCCAATGCACTTCTCTCAAATTAGTGTTACAGGAGAGGAATTGTTTTTCAAACAGTTCTACAGAATAACATACAAAATTCAGAGTTGGCAATAAATTGAACTAAATCCTACCCATTCCCTTGTTTTTTAAGCTTTCAGGTTAGTCCACTTCTCCATGGGAAGTCTTAAGAGGCGCTAGATAACATTACTGGCCCAACTACTAACCATCCTCAATCAACCCAAAGACCCATAGCCCAATAAGCCCACCCAGGGGGAAAACATACCCATTAAGAAGGAGACTTTGCCTTTTTACCTTTTCTTTCATCTTGCACTACCATTAGAGAATCCAAGGTGCTGAAAAAGCAAAGCAGAGAGGAGTGGGAGGAAGAATCTCAGAATTGTACTCCATTCATAGAAGTTCTCAATGGGAGCAATACTGCCCCCTACAGGAGATTTTTGAAAATAAGTCAGGTTATTTGTTGTGGTTTTTAATAGATTTTGTGGGTGTGAATGCTGGATGTCAGATATCTTGCATTTCCCAAGACCTTAATGCATAAGTTGAACTCTTCCAAAGCCAACATGACTGTCAAATATCATGTCAAACATCTACATAGTCAAAAATTTATATTATTTGACCTTAAATCTAACTTCATTTTAGATAAAAACATAAAATGTATTTCATGGTGTTATACACACTGAATTTTACAATAATGAAAATATTTACTAAATAGAGTAGAGATCATGCACCAATAATTATTTGCAGAAAGTTGTTTATGTTGTTTCCAGAAAATCATATCATTAACTGCCTACGTAGTTTGGTGTATGTGTCAGTTGGTATTCTTAGCTCTGTATCCTTGGTGATTCTACACATTAGAAGCATTTGACCACTTTTTTATATATACTCATGATGAATATTTTCATATTAAAACCGATTTTCATTCTTTATTAATTTGCTGAATTTAAAAAAACTCCTTAATTACAATCCAAGCACCATACTGATGGTTTTAGATGGGCCACTATAAAATATTTCTTAAACAACCAGACTCTGGATGGATGAGATTTGTGATCATATAGCCCCAGAAGAGAGAGAGAGAGCTAGAACACACATTGTCTTGAATCTTCTTGGTCTTAATTATCAGGATGGGTTCTTACTAGCCAAATATGGCCAACAATATCTGTCTAAAGGATTGCCAAGTGGGCAGTTTCTCATAAAGAAATGGAAGCTAAACAGCATAGTTCATTATGCACTTTCTGTAAACACATAATATTTTTAATGMAAACAACCTCCATACATTAATTTTCTTTTTWAAAAAGTTCATATTTACCAAATGTAGAAAAGAAAAGCAGATGCACTTAGCAATGCAATCAAGTCATGGTGGCTATTGACAGAGGCCTGGGGCTTCCTTTGCTCCATCAGCATTAGTGGTTTCTTTTTTCAAAATTCATTTTGAACATTTTGGGAGGATAGAATTATATAAAGTGGGTTAAGGGTCTCTAATATCTTTCGAAGTTTCCATTACGTTTCTTGTGAATTTATTTTAGAATTAACATGAACTAGAATAAGGTTCAAAGGCTGCCTGTTTTCTGTTTTTAAGTGTGCATCCAAAAAAAACCTGATAAATAAAATATTTAACTTATGAGGGCCTAGATTAAGGACAAGTCATTCAAGTTAGTGCTCAAAATTCCTTTGTTTTATACAGAGGATTAATCACCAGTTCCTTGAAATAGRAATGTTGCCTGCATATTCCAAATATTATCTAATTTGTAAACATTCAGTTTGACACAATTTTTTCAGAAAAAAATCCACTATATTAAATTTGAAATCATATGTATGTAACTTACCTTACACTATTCTTTTTCATCCTAATATTTTACTTAGGACTATAAAAGATTAACAGCTAACATTTTGTTCATTCATCCCACAAATATGTAGTGAGCATCTCTTATGTGCTAGACACAATTCTAGATGGGTTGGCAGTAGGAGAGGGGGAATAAAAACAAAAAAAAATTA